TCCATTGTATAGTGCCCCTTACATCACACCGTCATGCAGGAGTTTTCATACAGTTCATAGATTAGTAGAAGAAGCCACCTGTCTATAAAAGAATTCTTCAGTTTCTCCCATAATTTAGGTCTGGATACTAGGTCATCGACATATCTGAGATCAATAAAGGGAGCATAAAGCACTGAACATGTTCTAAAGTGTATTTTTCTACTCAAAGTTATGGAGTTAAAGCATGGTTTTCTTGCTGTATGGCCATAATGAACATTAAGATTCCGAAGGGCAGGCACCACAACAGAGAAGGCACGCTTGCTGGATCCCCATAGGTGGCATTGTTTAACTGAAGGCATCTAAAGCACATCGACTTTGCCCGATCTTACTGGGTGGGAAGAAACCATGGAGATAGGCAGTCCCTGCAATAACCTGGCCCTATGCCATGAAGGGCTTTAAAGATTATCACCTGCACCCTGATTTGCACCTGGAAACTCACTGGCAGCCAGCGCAGTGCCACATGAGCTATACCAAAGCATATCCAATACTGCCCATGCTGTTGCGTTCTGGACCAGCTGTTGCTTCTGAGTGTTCTTTAATGGCACCCTGATGCAGCGTCCGTTGTATTAGTCCACATGTGAGATAACCAAGGTTGGAATGACCATGAACAGATCTTCCTGACCAAGAAAATGGCACAATGGCATAGACCTGATGAATCTGTATAAAGCCTTTCCTAGCCACGGTTGCTGTCAAACATTTGGTCAAAGATAAAGACATCAACACCAGACTTGTAGACTTGCACAACAGGATATAAAATTTGGGTTCAAGATTCTAAATGGGCCAACAGCTGATCAAATCCCTTTCTAGGGAGGGAGGTGTTCCAGCAATATTGATTTAAACTTGTCTATTTTCCATATGGATTTTATCCACTCCAAAAATGATCCTTTCCTCCTAAGAGGAGGGTAAAAGGAATAAGACATAGATGTTGACAAAATGTTGGCAGTCAGATATTTGTTTCTAAAATAGTTGAAAAAATGTACAAAAATACTTTGTTTTGTATAATATAGGTAGTCCTCACTTAACTACGACAATAGAGACCAGAAAATTTGTCATTATTTGAAGCCGTTGTTAAACGAATCATCACATGACCAGACCCGATTTTACAACCTTTTTTGCAGTGGTTGTCAAGCAAATCTCACAGTCGTTAAGCAAATCTCATGGTCGTTAAGTGAATCATGTTCCCACAATTGATTTTGCTTGCCAGAAGCCTGCTGGGAAGGTTGCAAACGGTGATGAAATGACCATGGGATGCTGCAACCGTTGTAAGTGTAAGCTGGTTGCCAAATGCCTGAATTTTGATCATGTGACCATGGGGTGCTGCTACAGTCATAAGTATGAGGACTTTTCATAAGTCACTTTTTTCAGTGCCACTTCTGGAATTCAGAAATTATTATTGTTGTATATTTCTCCTCAACCCTTATTTTGGATTTCTATGTTGTTTCAAGGGGTTATTCTGTTATTTTAAACCTTTTGAGGCACATGGAATCAAGGGTGGCCAGAGAACATTCACTTATAAACTAAAACAAACATGTTCTGCTTTGCCAAAGACTAAACTTTGGTTTGCCTCCATAATATCAAAACCTCCTCCTTTGCACCTATTTCCATACTTTTTTTTTCAATTATGCACCAATGTCAAAAAAAATGGATGTAATAAAAATAACAGGTTTTTAACTATAAATAACTTGTTTACAAATACAGTGAAATTCCAAAAAGAAGAAAGTGTGATATCATGTATGAAGAAGTGGGGTAAAGAATCAGTGAGGGGGATGCACAGAGGAGGTATCCTAAAATTTTAAAAAAGGGGAGAGGCCTACAGGACTGAAGAGGAGGAAGATTCTGAACTTCGCCTCCAATGTCAGATTGTCCTGTTTATTCCTATTTTCTGAAGCACCTCTTCTTCATCTTCAGCTTTGTACTTCAAGGAAATGTCCATTGTACCAGTGATTGTTGTGATTTCTTCTGAAAACAGAAAGGGGACAGTTATTGTGTCTAGGAATTTAAACTTAAAAAAAAAAAAGTTTTGGGGAGGAGATGTGAGTGGTATTTCCACTAAAGGAAAAAAAAAAGGAGATTGTGGGATATTGGGAGGAGTTGAAATATAAGATAAGTTTTTTTAATATACCATTAAAAAAAAGAAATGAGAAGACGAGATTTTTGGCACCATCAGCTCAGAGAATGCTTTGGGTGTTAAGGATGATAAAGAAGAGATTAAAAGGAGAGATAATGAAGATAATAAGCTTCAAGTTGTCAAATCCTTTATTAGGAGATTAGTGCACATTAGAAAATTAACAACTAATTTCAAGTATTTTCTTTATTAACTGTTTGGGGCTCAGCACTATTATCTAATATTGAAAAGAAAAAAAAAATGCAGAGAAGCTGTGTACGTTCAGAAGAGTTCTTCATAGTTACCACAGTGCATATGACCTTGGTATTCTGAAGTGATGGAACAGAGAAGACCAAAACACAACAAAAAACCAACATGATGAAGTAGTGAATTTTACTTCATTCAAGTTGTCTGATAAAAAACAACAACTACACTTTTATTTCTTTGTTAGTTGTTCCTTCTTATTGAAATCAGGTCTCAGAATAATGCTATAGCATTTGGGAGAAAACCCATCAATCCAGCTGCGGAAGTGAAAATGGAGAAAATCTCCACAACCACCATGCATTTCCCCTTCGTAATCACATAAGTTGGAACAAATGACACCCAGGCACTGCAAAAGACTAACATGCTGATAGTGATAAATCTGGCTTTGTTGAAGCTGTCAGGAATATTCTTAGCAGGGAAAGCCACTATGATAAAAAGTTGAACAATAATGGCAGCAATGATGAGGTCTCCAGACTGACAATACTTGTGAACAGTTGGAAAAGGACTATTGACATTGCAGTTAACAACAGGAGAAATACATATCATCATAGGAAGAAAAATTAGCACTAGTGTTCTGAATATAATCATCTCAATATAAACTATGGCTATTAAAAAATGAAACAGTAGATCTTTCTGAGGAGCAGGGTCTGAATTAACCAATCACTCATTACTATAATATGACATGTAGACAATCAAACATCAGAGATCAGACATGAAATGTTGTCTGCCTCTATTTAGCAGATATTAATGTAATCTGGGACCACTGTTTTGTCAGTGGCAACTGGGATTCCCTTAAGAAATGAAGAAGAAAGGACAATGATTATACCTAATTTGATAATTAATGGGGAACTAATAGTTTACTTACAATAGTACTTTCTTTGCAAATTGTCCTATGTATGAAATGTGTGTTTCTTTTATCTTAGTAGAATAGCTGCACTGCTGTGAACTTTTAAAACTTAGATATGAAGCAGAAAATTAGAGGAGCACCATATGCACAAAAAAAGAAAGTGAGGTTAATATATAACTAAAGATCTCACATACACATCAACACAAAAATTGCATGGATACTCCCAGATGAATGCAACAATGAGTTGAATTTCTACAATGATTGCTTTCACCAACAAGCTTTTTAAATATTCCCTTTTATTTTAATATTAATTTTAATATTAATTCCACTTATTTTTTTGAGGGGCAACAGCATAATTACATAATGCCAAAGGCAGGTCAGCTGTCATCCTGAACAAGGTAAATTACATCTGGGAAGCCAAGAAGCAATTCTCAAATACCATGTTCAACCAACTTCTTTCCTCAAATCCCACAATATATCACCTAGGCTGTCATGCCTAAGGGAGGACTGGAATTCTTTGGTTTTCCAGTTTCCCAGCACCTGACCCACTACACCAATATATCTCACAAATTTTCAGATTTGAGGCAGGGGATATTAGTGGGAATTTTCCTGTACATTTAAATTATCATTAGGGAGAATATTGGGAGGGGTTTAAATGACAGATACATCACAAAAATCCATTTTTTTCCCCTAACACCTTCCCAAAAAAAAAAAAAAAAAAAAAGGTAAACCTTTGGCCCCCTTCACCCTAGGGGTGTTTTAGGTTTTTGGGGGATAGGAGAGACAGTTTTTTTTTCCTTTCTG